CGTAGTCAGGTGGCGTCTGGGTTGCCGTGCCCTGCAGGTCCTAGACAGCGATCCAGCTTGCCAGGCCATTCATTCAATGTACTGACTGCTGGATGGGCTTCAGACCTGTGCGTGCCGATGAAACATGGATCGCGGGACGGGATCTGGGAGGCACTGTAAACGTTGTCCATCATGGGTCGCTAGGTTCATGACGAACGTATGGTGCTCCAAAGACGAAGACGAAGACGAAGAAGAAGCTCACAAAGCTGCACCCCTTCCGGCTACAGCTTGGGGAAGCTTTGCAAGAAAGTCGGGGCCTCTTCGCCGTAATTTGCACGATCCGGGCTTTCTCATCCACGTCGCCCTCCCCTCCCCTCCCCTCCCCTCCACTGGCGACTCCTCTCTACCCCCTCTGCCCCCAAGAATAAACCCCATCTCCAATTCACCCGATTCTTGGTCGGCTGCCACGGGTGCCTACTCATCCCCCTCCCCTCACACTACCCAGCCAGTCCCGTTTGGGCTCACACCAGACGCGGCGCAGATCCAGGGTCCAACCGGGACGGGGGCTGGTGCTTCCGCCGTTCTGTATGTCTGGGCACGGCGTGCCATGTTGGGGGGTGGTGCGTTGCATTTTTGTTGCTGTCAAATGAATGGCCTTTTCCCATCCTGAGCTGATGGTCGAGTGTGCCACCCCTTTTTCGGTGCGCTGGGCAAAAGCGCAAACATGCCATGACAAGTGACACCGGATACTCGGTGAGATGGAGATAGCGCTCCTTGCCTTTAGCCAGTAACAGGCGGACCATCGCGCATTTAGTGACGCGGTGGAGACCGGTGTCAAAGCCTGCAGGTCGCGTGTCACAAGGCAAGAGGGGAGAGAAGACAGAGGGAAGGCGAGACAGAGCCCGCCGAGGCAGGCCGGTAGCGGGACCAGCGAGCGCCAGCAGAGCCAGCAGCAGTGGTGCGTGGCAGGCATGCGAGGCCAGTTCAGGCGGTAAGGGCAACCGTGAGACCCCCCGCCAGCTACCCAAACAAGAAGCGACGAAGGGACGAGAGACGGGGCCCCTGTGCCTTGTGCCTGCCCAACCCTGGCCACTTCTCTCCACCTCACTGGGTCGGGCCCCATGCCCGGCTCGACTCACGACAACTTCGGCTCTTTACCTTCCAGACCCCATTTCACTCGGCTTCCCACTTTCCCTCCATCCTCCATTCTTCTGCACACTCTACCCGACGTCAAACGCTCATTGACTCACGACACCCATCTGCCGCCTCAGTTTCAACACGTCGAGCTCGACTTGCCGGCCAGCACCTCCTTCTTACTCATCCTTGTTGACGAGGATGACCGCTATCGCGACTTCTCAACATTCCGCTTCGCATCCATTGACAAGACAGGTTGCGTCATACCTCTGAGAAACACCTCCCTTTGCTCCCTCCGCTGCCACTTGTCAGCCAACAACCACACCACAATCATTGCAGGTCCGGACCGTCGTTCACGCGTCCACTTGCACTTGCCGCCGTTCGGCCGTCTCAGTTCGAACACCACACTTTCCCCAACCGACCCATCCGCTACGAGTCACTAGGCCGACCGCGTACCCCAACCCACTGTCACCTTCGCCCCGACACGTCGTCAAAGATCGTCCCCGGCTCCCAATGGCGTGCATCGGCCCCCTTCCTCACTCATCGTCCATGCGACTGCCCAGGTCCTCCAGGTCGAACATGGCGAGGCTGCAACCCGACACCTTCCTGCCCCCGGGCGCTCGTACAAGCGATGCCCTGACTTTACCTGCCATTCGGCCGGCGAACCAGACCGACCTGAGCAGTAGCAGTCGCGAGTCGCTGTCGTCGCATTCCGTCGCCTCACCACTCTCCCTCCCTCTCTCGCGCGTCACAAGCCAGACGGGCTATTTCGACACCAAGATTACCAACACGTCCAGTTCCATCGGCTACTCTCCTCTCTCCTCAGGTGCCGTCCGTCACACACCCAACCTACAGAGCTTCCTCTCGCCGCAGGCCCAACCCGTTCAGTCCGTCCCCGGCCTCGAACACGCGTCTGTTCAGCGCCGTCACAGCAGCTTGTCGCCGCCCGTCAGCCGTGCGAGGTTGGACAGGAAGACCCTTTCGGCCGTGACCTCACCAAACATCCATCCCGCCTCCATGCATAGCGGCAATGCCTATGCCCTGTCCATCCCGTATTCGCAATCACAACCGCTCCCGAGGTCTAGCTCTGCCGATGCCTCATCGGCTTCTGCCGCCGCCCAGACGATTCGCCGCCTGACTCAGCAAAACAGCCGCATTCGCGAGGCCTGGGAGGCTGAGCGTAAATACATGGAGGCCAACCGCGAACGCATAGAGGAGGTGTACAAGGAGGAACGCGTCATCATGGAAGAAGAGCGAACCGAGTGGGACGCAGAGAAGAGTGCCATGCTCCAAGAGATCCAACAGCTCCAAGAACGTGTCGCAGGTCTCGAAAGTAACACTGTGCAACTTCAGGGCATGGTGCAGCGGCTAGAACTCGAACGCGCCGGAAAGGTCGCCGCTGTCAGCGTGGCCATCCCCGGCGTCCGCCCCGGTGGGGACGGTTCCACCGACTTCCCTCTCTCGCTCTCAAGCGCCAGTGCCTCGGCAACCGATGGACGCCACTCTCGTGGCATTGAACTCGCCGGCACGGCTCTCTCGAACTTCAACCCTCTCTATCCCTCATCACAACCATACCTCTTCGGCCCCGGCGGTTCACGTATCTCACCCTCCAAGCAACCCACGGTCACGACCTTTGTCCCTCTCGACCCCAACATGCAACCGATGAAGTCACCTACCGTCGATTTCCTCGCTTCTCCTACAAGCGAAGATGTGCCAGTCGTCGACATTCAGACGATTCACCCTGAACTCGAAGGAATCTCCGTCAGAGCACCCGCTGTTCAGAAGGAAACGTTCACCGACTCGGGGACCGATGACTCCAAAACGTCTTCACGTAATGCCTCACCACCTGGCGAGTCAGGTCTTCCGCTAGGCAGGCGGGCCTCGTCCAAGGACCACACTTTGCAGGTTCTGTCTGCTCCAGTCACGGACCGACTCGTCATGCATGCTGGCCACACTCCGAACCACTCTTTATCGCATTTGCCTACAGCCGCAGCAACTGAAACTGCCACCGTTGCAGGCGAAAGTACCAGCCCTACGCCCACTTTCGGGCAGACTAATCCGGCGCCAGCGTTGTCTCTTGACATTGGGGCGCTACGTCAACGGACTCGCAGAATTGAAGACTCGGTGGCTTTCGAGCTTGAAGCTTCGGCGGAGGAGCACCCTGAACCCATTCTGGAAGCGCCGATCGAAGACATTAAATTGAAGGGCCCTCTTATGATCCGCAACATTCCGGCGCATGATGAGATTTTCTTGAGGCGACTGTCAGAAAAGCTGGAGGATGTCAGCCGAGGGCAAGACTCAACACCAGTCTGTCTGCAGGACGATTTGGACGAAATAGCAGAGGAGCCGAAGGAGAAGGCCCAGGCTGGGCTCGAAAACAAGGGAGCCGGCGATGCCAGCGCGGTCACTGACCATGACAGCGAGTCCGAGTCGCCGAAAGACAAGGACGTGGAAGTCGACGTTCCCTTGAAACTCAAGAAGACAACAAATTTTGGTGCGCCGCTGGGCACTGCGTTTTAAGGGGAGAGTTGTTCGTCGATGACTGGGTTGCAAACAGATTTATCTTGACGCGCAACCCCTTTTGCGTTTCGATTTTCTTCGCTTGTCTCTTTCGCTATTCCCTTCCTCTCTCTTTTACGCACACACAAACACACACACATCTGCAGCTTCCGCAGTTGCACAACAACTTTCTTTTGTCACTTCACCTTGGGCTTTTCACATATCAGCAGGCGAACTGTTTTGGCGGCGACGGAATTAAGATGACGCAGAGAGCTTCCTGTCTGGTCGTCATCGAGTCGGTGGCAGGGTTCTCGACACACTATTTTTTTGTGGTTTTCATGCATGGGTAAAGGGTTGTCGGCACGCGGTTGGGCTGGCGGTATGGGCTTTGCTTTTCAAATTTTCGGCACAACACAATACCCCCCTTCACTTCATTTCTTATGCCAGACAGAACAAAGCTGGTTTTGGCCGGAACAGAAAAAACATGCCCACCTTGGCCAGGGGTGGCCGGCTGCCTATGGAGGAGCCGGCGGGATAGATAGATCATCTGGTAGAGCGGTAGATGAGGTAGACGGCGAGGGGCTGCCACCGAGACATGGCAAAGGAATACAACACTCGTACAAAGAAGACTCGTATGAAATACATCTCTTGGTCGGCACCGCGTCTCCTTGTGGCTTGTCTTTGGTCAATGGTCGGCTCCTTTTGACATCGAGTGACAGCCCTGTCTGAGCGTCGCAGCAGACCACGCGTCAAGTCTTTCTCCGATCCCGAGAATCACGGTCAAGGCAAACTCAAACCCTGACACAACAGCCACAGCAAGTTCGTCTGCCAGTGAGGAGATGACAGTGCTTGGCCATGTATCATCTTTGCAACAGCACAAATCACAGCGTGCGCGGGTCGAGTCGAGGTTCATCGAGGTTGCGGTCTTGAAATCGGGTACTAGACGAGCAGTAGGTACTAGATGGACAGCAGGCACTAGCTCTATTGTGGGCAAACTCGAGGCTACTCTTCGCGAGGCACATTCCCAGGGCCTCCCGACCAGGCGCAAAAAGCAGTTGATGCTTTTGACACCAAAAGTCTTTCCCGTTTCAGCAGCCTCGTTGACCTTGTCTGCGCAAGACAAATTGCCCTCCCGGGGGAACCCGATTTCTCTTTTGTCACGCGCCGTTCGCTACGCCGGCCGAACAGGAAGGAAGACGCGGGCATGGCGGCGCAACACCATTCTCAGGCGTTCAGCCCCGCCATGCCGTGGGCGGCATCGTCGAGAAGACCACACAGCCTTGGGCCCCGCCGGCATCCGTCCCATGCGCAGCCTCCTACGCGCACACGCGCGGCGGACGAGGCCGCAAGACTAGGCACAACGGCAGAGGACGGTTCGAACCACCACGTCACGCCTTGCCGTCCATCATGCCGGCAAGCTCATCCAGAAGCTCGACCGTCTCCGCCGGGCTCGCGATCCAGGCCGTGGTGCCGACACTGCGGGCCTTGAAGTCGTTGCTGCCAGCGCTGAGGAATTGGTCGCCGACGTGCAGCGTGTTCTCGCCGCGAATGGGCTCGCCGGCCGCGGCTCCGCCGCGGGACGCGAACCAGTTCTGGCAAACGGTGACGCCCCAGGACTTGTCGCCAATGTCGACAAAGACGTCGCGGCCGCCGTTGAAGGCGCAAAAGGGGATGCGGGCGCCGACGGGCGGGTGGGGTGCGCTGCGGTCGGCGCCTTCGGCGGCGTACCCGAGGGCGGAGAGCTCGAGAATCTTCTGCACGACGAGGACCGTCTCCTCGAGGGACTCGCGAGGGATGCGGACAGCCGGGTCGGTCGGGATGATGCCGACGGCGCGGTCCTTGCGGAGGATGGTGGCGGGCAGGTTCATGGAGCGGACGCAGTCGCGCAGGGCGGCTTCGGCGACGTCGAGGAGAGCGGCGATGCCGGCGTCGGACCAGGTCGCCATCTCGGGCGTGAGCCAGCGGTCGCGGGACACGGGCGCCAACAGGTGCGGGACGGTGGGGTCCAGCTCGAAGAGGTAGTTCGCCTCGCCACCCATGATGACGACGTTGCGCTTCTGCTCCTCCGACAGGGTGGTCGAGGCCGCCACGGCGTCGAGGAGACCGTAGAGCCGCTCGTGGTAACGGTCGGCCGTGGTGTAGCCGGCAGCCGTGACGATGCCAATCTTGACATCACGGCGGAGGAGATCAAGGAGGCGAGGCACGAGGGGGCTCGACGGCTCCAGGCACTGACCATCGTCGTAGAGGGTAACGTCTCCATCAAAGGTGGCGAGCTGAAGAGAACCCGAGGTGACGGCCATTGTCTGGGCCGTGTTGAGGACAAGACGGACGTCATTGAAGGATGGGGACACATAGCGCCGAGATGATATGTATCGCTTGCGATCCTGGTGATTGAAGGCCGCCTCAAGGGGCAGGCGTGTGAAGAATGGGCCGACCCCAGGGACGAGCATGGTCAGCTTGGAAGGAACCTTGTTTGGCTGTAGAGTGACTTGGAGGGCCATCATGTTAGCAACCTGTGCACATCGTGGATGTGTCACGTTTCACTCACTGTGGTCGTCGATCATGAGCTCGACGTCACGCATGATCTCGGCATACCGACGGTGAGCCTCCTCGGCCGTCCGCGCGAGACTCGTGCCGTTCGCATCAAGCACTCCCGTCGGCTGGGAGTAGAGAACAAAGGGAACAGCCAGAAGACCCTTGATCCATTCTGAAAGATGTGTGCGTCAGTCATGGGACGGTTCGGAGCCCTGTTGCTGGTGTAGGCAAAAGAACACAGCTGGATGGGATGACCTGGCCGCCTAGGCGGGGCAAATTCAAGGTGGCACAAGGATTCGTACCTATGAACTGGTCTCTCCTGTGCGTCTTGAGGGCATCTTGATGTCACGTCAGTTTCGTGGACGCGCTGCTTTGAAGGGAGGACTATCGGGCCTCGAGCACGCTGTGGCTGCACTCACATTCAACCCTGTATCTGGTCGTCATGTTGTTGTGTTGGTTATGAGGAGGGCAGGGGCGAAGGTGGCCTCGCGAGCCGGTAAAGAGGACGAGTAAGAATGGGTAGAAGGCTCTACTGTGTGCCAGACCCCAGAGTCAATCGTTCAGCAAAAAAGAGAGCCCAGTGGTATTGATTTCTCGTGAGTCCCTTATGGTGAGAAAGATAAGTTGGGAATGACTGGTCGTTACTTCGGTCTAGAGCCATGTGACCGTGGCTGTGGTCCACCGCTGCTTGGTCTCACCTTCGGACCCCGCCGGTGACCGCCCCAATGTTGTGTAGTGGCATTCGGTCGAGCCCAACTGGGTGCAGCTGGAGCCCCCTCCTCCTGTCCTGACTCGAGCGAAGACGTATCGCAAGACGCCCATCCCATCACTCTGGTTTTCGTTGGTCATCATCTTATCTATGCCTGGTCCATCACTGCGACCTGCGAGCTTATAGCACAACGAAGAACGGAATGATGTGTGAACTTTCTTTGTTTTTTACTTTGATTCGTGCAATGGTGCTGGGCTGGGCTGGGCTGGGGGAGGGGAGGGGGGGGGGTAAGGGGGCGGGGAATAACTACTCGATCAACTCAACTCCTCCATCGGCACGACACTTCCAAACCAGGGGCCGGTTGCCACGTCTTCCGGCCACCACGGTGACATCTGTACGCAGAGCGACCCAGATGCCTGTCTATCTTGCTTCCTTGCACGTCTTTCCTACTACTCAGCCATCCTCGAACCTCGACGACGTGCGATCAGTCCTCACACTTGCCACAACGGGCGATAACCCAATCCAACAGATCATTTCGCGTGAGCAAAGGCTGTCCGTTGCTTACCCTTTCGTATGGACTCACAACCCGCTCTCTGCGGCTTGTGTTTTTGCCCCCGGGGACTGTACCACCGAAACTCGTCCACGACGCCTGCAGCGCACTAGGCATGCCGCTTTTCCCCCCTTTGCCCTTGCACGACTGTAGGACCAGACGTCGAGGGCCATCGGAAGGCGTGTATGAGAGGAGCTCACAATCGCCGTCTGAACCAAAAACGCCGTGCTCTCCTTGCCATGAGCCACCAACGCCGCGGCGGGTTATGCGAGGAACGCAATGCCATCCAGCACGGTGTCTGTGCAAGACCCAGGCTTCATGTTGCATGCTACATTACTAAGCCACGCTTCCGTTAGCCGTCGCAGCGACCTGCTGTTGCGCGATGAGCTGCGCTTGGGCGTTTTCGCTGGCCTTCGCCATGATGCCCTGGAGGGCCGCCTGGTCTTCCGCAGATAGGTGAGACGCAAGCGATGCGTAGAACTGGGGCTGTTCAGACTCAAGTTCTACCAAAATGTCAGTATCATAGCCGGCCTCTTTGGGGGTTGGTAGGCACGGTGGAAGGGGAGCATACTCATCAGGGTGCCGCTGAACAACTGATACGGGTCGAGCTTGTCGAGGGGAGACTCTAGCAGCACGCTGTCTTCGCCAAGGTCATCCTCGCTCTCAGCTTCCTCGAGGCCGCGGCTGAACTTTTGTGCCTGTGCGACCCGTCAGTCTTGTCCAAAGTGTGAAAGCGCAGTAGCCTGCTTCGGGCTCACCTCATCGTTGAGGAACTCAAGATATGCCGTGCTCTCATCGCGGGCCTCGCCAGTCTCTTCGGCCTCGGGGCCTTCCTCGGCGTTCCAGTTGGCCTCATCGTCGCCCCAATCGTCGTCGTCACCGTACTCGTAGTTGCCCTCGAGGTGGTAGTCATCCCTGAGCGCCTCCTCGCGGTCTGCTTCATCGTCAGTCAGGAGGTTCCGCAAGTGTGTCAAGTCAACTCACTCTTCATAGCGGAGGGCAGGGTCTTGAACAGCTCCGTGATTCCCTGCAGCAGCCTGGGCCATCCGACGGACACGCTTTGTGGAACCTGGTCAGGGGGGAGGCTGAGAAGGGCAGAGATGGCGACAATGCAGAGCTTCTTGTCGTGAACCCTGGAGAAGGTGGGCATGCTGCCGAACCAGAGGCTGAAGAAGCGGTTGGTCCAGTCCTTGGCCTCGAGGAACTGAAGAGTCAGGATAGGGTTGTAGTGAATAGCGTTGATGACCAGCTCCATGAGGTGAATCTTGTACGCCTTGATCTTGACATCTGTAGCCGTCAGGACCGACATGGCGAACTCGATGAAGCGAAGCACATAGTTATCAATGTGGCCACGAAGGTTCAGCATGAGGGCTTCCGCCAGCTTGCATGCGCAAATGCGGTCCACGCCGCCGACCTTGGCGTCGGAGAACATGTCCGAAATCATGGAAAACAGCGCCTCCACGTACTCCTGCTTCTGGATCAGGTGCGGCGCACCGTACTGGACAAAGTTGTCGAGGGCAGGCAGCATGTCCTCAAGATAAAGCTCAGCGCCAGCCTTGAAGGTCGCATGGATGAGCTCAAAAGCCTGCCACATGGTCGGCGAGATGGACTTGGCAGCAAAGGTGCAGCTGTCGATGATCTCGAAAATCTCGTTGTAAAGGTCGTAGAGCTTGTTCTCGAGGGTGACCTGAATGACGGGCATCAGGATGGCCTCAATGTGAAGCAAAACGTCGGGGGTACTCTCCAGCGTCAGGATGAGAGTGCCAATAGTCTGCAGCACACCCAGCGCGGTGATGGACTTCTCGTCGAGATAGTCGCCAAAATCGTCATCGCCGCCCTCGTTGCGGTTCTTGTCGAGGACCTCACGAACTATCCTCAGGTACGTGTCCCTAAGCTGCTCGCTGAGAGCCACAGCAAAAGGCGTCAGCTCTGTGGCGAAGACCTCGACAAAGTCCTCCATGACGTTCGCAAGGGCATCGATATCGGCCTCATTGGCAAGCTTCAAAAGCTGCTGCATGATCGTAGGGATACTCTGCTGCATGCTGGTTCGGATGATGTCGTGGCGAATGAGAGGCTGGAGGGCCAGCGCGGCCGTTACTCGAACAGGCAGATCAGGGTCGGCCATGCAGTCAAGGATATGGCGGTAAATGGTGAGCAGGTTGTTCTGATCCTGGAAGTTGAGCTGCTCAAACTTCTCCACGGTATCGCAGGCGCGAGCGCGCAGGTAGCCCTGGGAGCTGGTGAAGTCGGGGAAGACGTATCGCACGAGGAAATACTCAACTTGGTCGGCGATGGGGCTCTTCTTGCCCAGGATGACAGGCGCCAGGGTCCCAATCATCCGCAGAGCACCTTCCTTGGCGATGTGGTTCTTCTTGTCGTCGGGCGCCTGCTCGTACTCGTTCACGACGGCGTTGACAAACTTGAGAATCTCGAATGTCTGCTTCCTGCGGTTTTTGGTGAGGCCAATCAGGAAGTTCGTGGCGGCGACATCGGGCGCAGAAGCCTCCTCGTAGAAGTTGAGCTTTCTGTGGAGATATTCGTCGGGCTCCTCCTGGAACTTCTCGACATCCTCCTCGGACAGGCAAAGCACAGGGAATACGAAGTGGGTAACAAGGTTCTGCAAATGCGGCTTGAGGTGATCCCACATCTCCTTGGGACGGACGGATTCGTCAAGGAAAACGAGGGTATAGGTCAGGCATGGTCGGCTCAGCCAGGCTGTCTTGGCCACCCATTTCTCAATCTCCGCGAGGTAATGCTTTAAGATCTCCGGAGCGATCGTTGTAGAGAACTCCTTCGCGAACTGCATCTGGCCGTCGTCCTTGGAACCCGCGACTGACTGTGTGTTGCCGTGTCTGCAAGGGTTAGTTGGCCCTGTGATGACCAAGTGCGCTGGAGGGGGCGGCTTGCTTACCGGATAAAGAGACGGTTGAGGTTGAAGTATGCCCACTTCTTGGCCTTCCACCAGTGATGCTTCTCGCGATCAAAGGAATCCTCTACCATAGCGCTGGCGGGAATGGCCTTGGAGACGGTATTCAGGAAGACGGTGCACCACGCGATGTTGTTCTGCTGCTGGCGCAGGAAGGCAGACAGCTCGAGCTGCAGCCATGGTTAGCCTGGTGCACGAGAGAGAGACCACGGCGGAGATAAAGAAGGGAGAAACGGTAAGGGCTGCCTACCCAGGTTGCGTGCTTGTACGCCTTGAGGGCAAGGTGCAGCATCTCGCCAGCCTCATCGCTCTCCTGTGTGACGAGCTCATTGCAAATGGTCAGGAGGCGGGGGAAGCTGAGCTCAATGATCTTATCAAAATGAACACGGCTTTCATTGTCGGAAGATCGGAAACGCCAGGCGCGGCAGATGGCGAGCAGGCACTGGAGGCCAGCAAGGACAGAGGGGGCGTTATTCGTGTTGAGAAGTTCCGTGGTGTAGTCCATGAAATTGGGCCACTTGTCGGGAAAGTCGAAGTGCAGGATCCTCTGCAGCACAGGAATAAGCTGCTGGCGCACACCTCCCTGGGAGGCGGCCATGATGGGAAGTAGCCGATCGCGGAAGCGCGCCTTTTCATCTTCGGGTATCAAGGCCTCGCTGGCGTACTGGTCGGTTTTCGCCCATGATCGGTTGACCCGGTTCTTGACGTAGATGACAGCTGGAAGTAACAGACAATGTCAGAAAGCACAACACCGAGGGGTAAAGCAGTCCGAGAAACAAAGATTTCGAATCGTCAAGGACGGAGGGGCATGATGTCAGAGGAGAACCTACTCGATAGTCGCACACTGTTGTCTTGCTCTGCCTGAAGGATATCGAGGGCCACGTCCATAAAACCGGGCTGCTCCTCAATCTACACGAAGGACGAAAAGCGTCAGCGAGCTGCAACATGATGAAAGGCCATAATGCATGGTCTTGTGAGCGCGACAAGGGCCGTTGTCACTCATCGCGTCGCGGGTCCCGAGGGGAGGAGGGGCAAAGGGGGGATTTTGTTGATGTCGGTCAGGGCAGGCGCATACCTGCTTCAGCTGCAACTCAGCCCTCCGTCTGGTGTCGGCATCGGGATCCAAGCTGGCCAGGAGGAGGCCGCGGATCGCCGTTGTGTCCATCGTGGGCGGGTTTCTGGACGGGTCTTTCTGAAAGGAGCGATGTTGGAGGGGTGAAGGAGGGGAGGGGGGGGGGTCTCCAGAAGAGGATGGATTA